TATTCTTTGGAAGTCTGCATTCAATTTTCTGTAGCTTTCCATATTTCCCTTGCATTTTGTTTCCCTTCTCTTCTCTGCTATTTGTAAGGCCTCGTTGGACAATCACTTTGCTTTCTTGCATTTCTTTTCTTTTTTTTTTTTTGCGATGGTTTTTGTTGCTGCTTCCTGTACAATGTTACGAACCTCCATCCATAGTTCTTTAGGCACGCTGTCCACCAAATTGAGTTCCTTACATCTGTTCTTCACTTAACACTGTGTATTTATAATGGATTTGGTTTCAATTATACTTGACTAGCCCAGTGGTTTTTCCTACTTCCTTCAGTTTAAGCTTGAATTTTGCTACAAGAAGCTGATGATCAGAGCCACAATCAACTCCAGGTCTTGTTTTTGCTGACTGTATAGAGCTTCTCCATCTTTGGCTACAGAGAACATAATCAATCTGATTTCGGTATTGCCCATCTAGTGATGTCCATGTGTAGTCGCCTCTTGTGTTGTTGGAAAAGAGTGTTTGTGATGACCAGCTTGTTCTCTTCACAAAACTCTATTAGCCTTTGCCCCGCTTCGTTTTGAACTCCAAGGCTAAAGTTACCTGTTTCTTTTATCTCTTGACTCCCTACTTTAGCATTCCAGTCCCCTATAATGACAAGAACATCTTTCTTTGGTGTCAGTTCTAGAAGGTGTTGTAAGTCTTCATAGAATTGGTCAATTTCAGCCTCTTCAGCATCGGTGGTTGGTGCATAAAGTTAGATTAATGTGATGTTGAAAGGTCTGCCTTGGACTCATATTGAAATCATTCTATCATTTTTGAGATCGTATCCCAGTACAGCTTTTCCCACTCTTCACCCATTACTGTCCATTTTAATTCACTGACGCCCAGGACGTCAATGTTTATTCTTGCCATCTCCTGTTTGATCACACCCAGCTTACTAAGGTTCATAGATCTTACATTCCAGGTTCCTATGCAGTATTTTCCTTTGCAGCATCGGACTTTCCTTTCACTTCCAGCCATGTCCAAGCTGAGCGATCTTTCGACTTTGGCCCAACCACCTTATTAGCTCTGGAGCTACTTGTTCTTGTCCTCCAGTCACCCTCAGTAGCACCTTCCAACCTGAGGGGCTCATCTCCCAGAGTCATGTCTTTTACCATTTTTTTTCTGTTCATGGAGTTTTCTTGGCAAGGATATTGGTGTGGCTTGCCAGTTCCTGCTCCAGTTGGATCGTGTTTAGTCAGAACTCTCCAATATGACCTGTCCATCTTGGCTGTTCCTGCGCGGTACAACCCATAGCTTCTCTGTATTACTCAAGCCTCTTCGCCCCAACAAGGCAGCAATCCATGAAGGAGTGATACTATTTTAGGATCTTTTTAATACATACATGGAGCATACAATGAACAGTTCATATTCTACTAGTCAAATTTACTTTGAGGCTCAAAAAGAATAAGTTTTTTAAACATTGCCATCAATTCTGCACTATACCTTATCTTCTTTATTGAGTCTTCCCTGAACTTTCTCAGGATCTGTGATTGTTGCCTGGATTTGGGAGATAAAATTTCGCAAATTCTGCTTGGCTTCTGAAAAAGAGAAAGAACCAAGAAAAGATGAAAAGGTCTAGAAAAACTAAACTTTTTTATGTCAGCATGACCAAAGTAAAACTTATTCCCAGGCCATTCCATATTTCCCACTTCAGTATTAACTTCCTCATTTGTTTCCTTCTGTTCTTGGGTAGGGATCCATCTAGTAATGTACCCTCTAACTTTCAGCTCTGCTGGGGAGGGGGCTTTTCTGGTGGAAAATCTGATGCGGCCCAGCCTCACCCAGCCTCTGCTTCCAGCGGCCCCCATTGAGACCCCTGATCTAGACCTTACCTAAACATTCCAGGAATGATGTTAGGGCAGTTGTAACAATACAAGCCTTACTGCAAACAAATACACACACTCCCTTTAAAGCCTGTTCCCCGTCTGCAAGGGTGCTCAGGAATCAAAGCAATTGTTCCTGTTGTTACCTGCCTTTATATATTTGAAATTTTAAAACTGCAATGACCCAAGCTGGCCCCATCTTTGCTATCCTTCAACAAACAGGCAAAGACCTTTTTCTTCAGGCAAGCTTTCTCTTAATGACTGCTTGCCTGAGTGGGATTGTTAAATGGACTGTTGTGCCTTACTGTCTTGAATGTGGTTTTGGTGTTGCTTTGTTTAGTGTTTTTTAGCATGGTATAATACAATCCACATACAATGTGCTTTACAGGTATGACTTGTCTTTAATCCAGGTACCTTACAGTCTAAAACAAGCATAGATAACAGAAGAGGAGAATGAAACAGAGTCATAATTAAGTAGAGGCAAAAGTGATTACTTAACTTACATTCATTTTAGTTTAGTTACAATATTATATAACAATTAGTGGAGTGGTACCATATATTACCTAACCTGACAAGTGTATTTTTTAAATGCAGGCTGGCATCTCCAGTTTCAGATGGTCTCCATCCTTTTCCTTTTACATTTTGCCTTTGAGGAAAAAGCCTCCCTTGTGATCTTTAGTGACATCACCCAAGCTTTCTTATAAAGACCTAGACCTCTTTATGACATCACATAATATTTCTACAGCCAATGATCTCACGATATTGCCAGCATTAAACATTTTCCAGCATTTAAGCTGAGAGCTTGGTCATGATGGAAATATTTATTTGATTGTAACTCTTTTGTAACAGTTAATACGATCTTCAAAGGCCATTTGCTACACAAGAAACACTGACTGATCGAAGACATTTCTGGCTGAACACTTTGCAGAATGATTTTTCAAAGTTATTGGAAGGTTCTTCTTCTGTGGGCTGCTTTCTTGTTGCAAGATATTCTTGGTTTTTGTGAACGACCACCCTGGGCGAGTGTTGGTTGGGATTTGACTCAAAAGGATTTAGAGCAACTGCCAACTAAAGAAAAACCTAACTGTTTTCACAAATTATGTCAAATATACCACTGTTTTACTGGCATGGGACCATCCGAAGAGTTCCTTGAAATTTTATATGCTAATTGTAAGGTAGCATTCCTTATAGTCTTCTGTTTGTTGCTATTCTATCTTTTATCCAAACAGAAAGAGATACAACCCAGTAAGGTAAGATTGCATTACATGATAAATTAACTACTGTACTTAAGATGAAAAGAGGGTAAATAAGTTCAATTATTTTTATGCTATTTGGGGTAGATTTGTTGAATTTGTATTAGTGAAAGGAAAGGGGAAAGCCTCTAAACAACAATCAATACAATTTTGGAAAGGACATTCATATTAAAAGTATTATTCTAAGGGGTCCCGTGAGCATGGGGTGCATGGTAGTTTCGATTGTATAGTAAGTATTTTATTTATTTATTTATTTATTTTTGTACTTTTGTACTTGTTTTTGTTCTGAAAAAAAAGAAAGAAAGGTAAGATTCAGGTACCAATTATATTTCAAAGAGGATGGTCCAAACAGTACCCATTAGTCCTCTGTCTAGCTTCTTTCATTTTTTACTTCAGATTCATATGAATAAAAAAAAGAAAAATTAAAGAAGACACTGAACCATGTGACTGGTTTGCTCTGTTAAAAGTACATTTTGAGTTACCAGTATATTTATACTAAAGCCATACTTGTCTTAGTCTCTTGATTATTCTCATAGAATCGTGGCAATTATAGTTTGATAAGGGGCTGATAAATTCATTAAGAGATCTTGTAATTGTCCTAGTTTTTTGGGAGGACAAAACTGCATAGAGTCTGACATTGATATGCATTGTAAGTTCTCTGGCACTTAATTATGTCCAGCTGAACTCAAATCCTATGCTCATGTCCACATTTACACCTACTTTGGTGCAGAACACATGCACATAGCCTTATCTGAGAAAACAGACTCAATCTCAGATTATGTACACTTTTAATGAATGCTGACATTCTGGGTAATTAGCCACTGATTAAGTACAGTGGTGCCTCGCATAGCGACGTTAATCCGTTCCGGATTAACCTTCGCTATGCTGAAGCATCGCTGAACGGGGCAGCGATTTCCATTGGAACGCATTAAACATTGTTTAATGCGTTCCAAATAGGCCAAATACTCACCATTCAGCGAAGCTTCAGGATGGCCGGCAGCCATTTTCGCATAATTAGCCACTGATTAAGTACAGTGATGCCTCGCATAGCGACGTTAATCCGTTCCGGATTAACCTTCGCTATGCTGAAGCATCGCTGAACGGGGCAGCGATTTCCATTGGAACGCATTAAACATTGTTTAATGCGTTCCAAATAGGCCAAATACTCACCATTCAGCGAAGCTTCAGGATGGCCGGCAGCCATTTTCGCGCCCTCGCCTCGCTTAACGAGGGCGCGAAAACGCTGCGCGCGGCCATTTTGGGCCATTTCCCGGCTTCCGGCGGCCATTTTGGCCGCCGAACAGCTGATCGTCGGGGGGCGTTTTGTGAAGATCGGTAAGCGAAACGCTTACCGGTCTTCGCAAAGCGAATTTTTCCCCATTTAAAAAACGTTGAGCGATCGCATTAGCGATCCGAAAAAACGGATCGCTATGCGATTTCATCGTTATACGGTGCGCTCGTTAAGCGAGGCACCACTGTACTCCTTTTTTGAAACACCTCTACATCAGCACTTCTGAAGCTCACTTCTCAGTTACCAAGGCAACAGAAGCCTAAGGGGCAATTTACAAACAAGTAGCATGCCAAAGATGAGCAGATTAGATATCTTTATGGCAGAAGTCTTCACCCAAGACAGGAACTGAGGACTGGATACAGGGAGAACAACAGATACATGGGGACACTGGAATAAAGCTAAGGAGTAGGACTGAGTAAAATAATGATATAGCAAGAATCAAAACTAGCATTTATAGCCATAAAGTGGGCCCACAGAAGATGAAATGTGCAGAATAATGTACTGTACAACTACATCATGTATAAAGTAAATAATCCATACAAGTATATTTAGAATGAATCATATATATACACTTGTATATGTGTGAGCAATTAGAATTTTTTTCTCTGTGTATTTCTCTGGATGTGTGCAGACATGTGTTTCTGTTCTGCAAAACTGAAAGAAGAATATAACACAGCCTGTTTGTAAATGTGTCTTCAAGTTGCCCAATTCATTTGTGAAGATTTTAAGGATGAAAGTCCAAGAAATTAACCTTATAACACTTATGGTCTCCTACTGGCCTTGCTCTTGTGTTTTTGTGGTCAGAAAAACTGTTAGCATAACTCTAAGAAAATGATCAAGCAGAAATCTTGCCATCATTTTTATCTATGAGAAAAACTCCCTCTGCTTAACATCTACATTTCAAGTTCTTTTTAAGAGACATTAGAGGAGAATGAGTTCAAAAACGACAGCAACCCTATTTAACTTCTACTTAATTTTACTCTTGAGGCAAAATATTAATCTTGTGCTCCCATTTTTCTTAATCCTGTCAGGTAATAATCCAGACATCTGCTGTTTCAATGTCTACACAAGAGGATGAGGAAAACACCCGCAACATGATGATCAAGAAGTTGGCGGCTGACACCTCCAAGATTAAGAAATACATGAGGCACATTGTTCACAGTGAACGCACAGTAAAACATAAAAAATTAAGTAAAAAAAGATGGGACGACAACACTGAATACTCCCCAGTTTATCCCCAGAACCACAGCTCCAGTGAAGAGGAGACAATGTATGACTTCTAAAATCCCAGCAAGACTCATCCGTTGCATGTTCAGCTCTTCTTTTCTTTTCTTTCTTTCTTTTCTTTTTATTATTATTATTTATAAAATCCATCTATGCTTGTTTAACATCGTGTCACCTGGGTTCAGTTTATAGTCATTTGTTAATACAACTACAATATATATTAAGCGCTTAATCTACACAACATGCTTCTAACCATTGATAAACAAGTTCCATATTTGATAATATTCTGCATCCTCCTTTCCTTTGATTTTCAGTGTCAGTCTATCTATTTTGGTGCAGTCCAATATCTTTTTAATTATTTCTTGATCTGTAGGTGTTTCTTCTTTCTTCCAGTATTGTGTGAATATAATCCTCGCGGCTGTTAAAATATGCAGTATTAAATATACATTTTGTGTATCAACATCATCATCATAGGCATCCTTTAGTCTCGAGAGACAATGGTAACATGCTCTGAATTGAGGAGTGTCCTTGCCAGAGCATGAAGCCTGGGTAAAGTAATATGGAGGATAGGCTGTTACTCAAGCAGCAAGTCCCCCCCCCCCACGTTGCTGAAATGGTCCAATGGAAAGGCAAGAGCCAACACAACTTAAGTGACTTGCATTTAGAATATCTTTAATTAAAGGCTGTATGTGGTACATACTGCTGTCTTAGGCCACTTCAGTTATACAAAGCCAGCATTAAAATGTATCTAGACTCATTCCCAACCTTGGATAATCCAGGTGTTCTTTGACTGCAACTTCCCAGCAACCTTCGCCATTAGTTGTGCTGGTCAGAGTTTCTGGGAGTTGCAGTCCAAGAACACCTGTTACCCAAAGTTGGCAAACACTGGTCTAAGTGATCATATCCTCTTCACAGATAACAAAACACTGTTTTAGCAGCTTCACAGC